ACCCAGATTGGTTGGAGGGGCACAGACAAGGATTCGGCTGGTCCTACATCCACATGTGGTAGATAAAAATTCAGGAGGAATATCTCAGGAGAGAGGAGTCCCAGCTCCACAACAGGCTCCCCCAGGTCAGGATGCCAATGCCAAGAAGATATGTCCCCATAACTTCTGTATCTAAAAACCAGTGGGTACTGAGTTGGTGGAAAAAACTTCTGGATTCCCAATTAGTTACTTTTAAAGAACCCACACATGGAATCAGATTTCTCCCTGTGAGTTCCAGCACTGGGGTAGTGACATGAAAGTCACCAGTAGCATACAGGGAGGATCTGAAGTATCTGACATCAAGGTGAGAGCCAGGGGACAGCTTTTTCCAAGACAGAGAGGTAGGCAGAGGCCACTGACCCTTTTCTGAATCCTCCCTCCACAGAGCCACAGAATGGCAGGAGGGTACTATACCTGAGACTCTATCAATCTAGCTAACACTGTTTGCCCCGCCCCAGAGTTTCCCTGAGATTCAATCCCACCCAAATTATGGACCCACCCAAGCTGTTAACAGTGGCTTTTCCATATGAATGGCTGGTCTTGGCTCATGCTTCACAATTTCCTAAATCCTCTCAAACATACAACAGCCAGCTTTAGCAAGCCCTCATCCCTCATACCTCTTACTAAGTGGGCCCAGGCCCAGCAATAGCAGCAGCTAACTTTGGATGACAGTTTGGCTTTGCCTTGGAACCTCCAAGCCCAGCACAAGTAGCAGCCATCCGCAGACTGCTTTATAGCTCATGCAGGGTGGCCCTGGGCAGACCACAGGTGGGGTCTGACATTGGCCTGCACCACCCAGGAATGTGCAGAGCCTGCACACCCAGTGGACAACTACAGACCACATCAGAGCACTACAATCCAGCCCCTGAACAGCTGATCCTCCATGGAAGGTGGAGGTTGGTGGTAAGTGAGCACAGCCAGTCCTTGCCACTAGCTGGCCTGGGTAAAACCTTCCTATTGATCTGCCAACAGCAATAAAGGCTCAAATATAAGAGGAGGCTCAACTCAGCCCACACAAAGGGCACACCTTGAGTGCCCAGCTTGGGTAATAGGAGAGGCTGTGCCACTGAACCCTCAGGACACCTACTACATTAGGCCATGCTACCAAAACAGGGAGTCATAGCAGCTCTACCTAATACATAGGAATAAACAAGGGAGGCTGCAAAAATGAGGAGACAAAGAAACATGGCCCGAATGAAAAAACAAATCAACACTTCAGAAAAAGAGCTAAACAAAATGGGGATAAGCAACCTATCAGATGCACAGTTCAAAACACTGGTTGTAGGTATGCTCAAAGAACTTAGTGAGAACCTCAAGAGCATAGACGAGATCCAGTTAGTAACAAAGGACACACTAATTGAAATAAAGAACAATTTATAGGAAGACAACTGTAGAGTGGACGGAGCCAAGAATCAAATCAATGACTTGGAACATAAGGAAGCAAAAACAACCAATCATAACAAGAAGAAGAAAAAAAGAACTCATAAAACAAGGAGAGTGGAAGCAGCATCTGGGACATGTTGAAGCATTCCAACATTCATATCCTACGGGTGCCAGAAGAAAAAGAGAAAAGAGCAAGAAATAGGAAATATTTGAAAAAACGATGAAAGAAAACCTTCCTACTTTGGTGAAGGAAATAGATATGCAAATCCAAGTAACACCTTGGAGTCCCAAACAGTATGGATGCAAAGAGGCCTACTCCCTGACACATCATAATCTTTAATTATCATAATTAAAGATAAAGAGAGAATCTTAAAAGCAGCAAGAGAAAAGAAGTTAGTTACCTACAGGGGAGTTCCCATAAGACTGCCAGCTGACTTATCAAAAGAAACTTTGCAGGCTAGAAGGGATTGGCAAGAAATATTCAAAGTCGTGAAATGCAGGGACCTACAGCCAAGACTGCTTTACCCAGCAAAGCTATTATCTAAAATTGAAGGTCAAATAAAAACCTTCCCAGAAAAGAAAAAACTAAAGGAGTTCATCATCACCAAGCCATTACTACCATTACTACATGAAATGTTAAAGGGACTTATTTAAGAAAAAGAAGAGCAAAACTATGAATAATAAAATGGCAGTAAGCACACACCTATCAAATGATTCTAAAAAAAACACTGAGCAAACAAGAACAGAGACAGAATCACGTATATGGACATTTTGATGGTTGCCAGATTGGAGGGCTGCGTGAGGGAATGGCTGAATAGGGGAGACAATTAAGAAGTACAAATTGGTGATTACAGAATAGCCATAGGGATGTAAACTACAGTAGAGGAAATAGAGTAACCAAAGAACTCATGGACATGAACAAAAGTGTGGGGACTGCCTGAAGGAGTGGGAGGTGCTGGGTGGAAGGGGGCTAAGGAGGAAAAATTGGGACAAGTGTAATACCATAATCAATGAAATATAATCTAAAAAAATCATTATTGATTAAAAATAAAATAAAATATATAAATCTATACATACCTAATTATTTTATACATTAACATGTAAAGTAAACATTATTGGAAATGCAAGAAAAACTTAGACATGTATACTCAAGTAGTTATCAATTAAATTACATAATATCTGAGATTTGTGTTAAAATACTTCAATTAAAAGGTACAAAACAAGGACAAAAAGACATATAGGAAACAATACTGGCAAAGTAAACATGAAGCTAAGTTACAGGTTAATAAGACTTTACTATTGTTATTATTAAGTACCTTTATTTTAACTATTAGTTAAAAAACTGACAGAACGACCGACACATGCAGAGATCTACTAAAAGAAGGAAGAAAGGAAGGGAAAAAAGAAAAAAGGACAGAAAAAAACAAAAGGGATAGAGACAAGGTGGAAAAATTTAAATATATACACATCAGTATATATTTGTCAAAACCTATAGAACGCACATCACAAAGAGCGAACATTAATTTAAACTTTAAACCTTAGTTAATAACAATATATCAATATTGGTTCATCATTGTTCTGTAAAACTAAAACTGCTCTAATAAATAAAATCTACTTTTTAAAATTATGATGAAAAATGTGAATCTCGTTCTGAATGAAATAGATCAAATTAATAAAAGAGAGAGAAAAGAGGATATAGAGGACTTGAATAAACAATCAATAATCTCCAATAACCTTAATTTTTAACAGGTGATATTACCTCATAAAATAGTGAAGGTCTACCATAGAAGAGATTAGAAAGGTGTTTATAAAGGTCCACCACTGAGAACAATACCAATATCAAATGGATCACATCCGCGTTCTAATTTTTAAATATCAAATAATGCCTATTACAGTCGTGTGCTACATAATATTTCAGTCAACTACAGACCACAAGTATAACAGTGGCCCCATAAGATTATAATGGAGCTAAAACTTTTGTCATCTAGTAACATCATAGTGCAACATCATAATGCAACACATTTTGGTAATGCTGGCATAAATAAAACCACTCTACTGCCATCATATAAAAGTATAGCACATACAATTATTTACATTTAATACGTGATGACAACAAACAACTATGTTATTAGTTTGTATATTTACTATACTTTTTATTGTAATTTTAGACTGCACTCTTTCTGTTCATTAAAAAAAAAAGTTTTCTGTAAAACTGTATGCCACGTTAAGCTGACAGCAGCCTCATACATCTTGTGTTACTCTGTCTCTTGATTGCATTATTTTCTCTTGTGGTGATTTAATGTCATGCTGTTTTGTGGGGAAACATGCTATGCAGGCTTGTAGCCTACGAACAACAAGCTTTGTAATACCAGATAGCCTAGGTGTGAAGTAGGCTATACCACCCAGGTTTGTATAAGTGCACAGACTCTGTGATGTTTGCACAATGATGATGTTGCCTAACAACACATTTCTCAGAATGCATCCAGATCATTAAGTGATATCTGACTATACAAATTAGACCACAGAACAAGAATAAATACTCCTATAATTAGTTTCCAAAAATATAAATGACTTTATTACTCAAATCAGATAAAACCATAATTAAAAAAGAAATAAAAATTCCAAGCAATTATATCAGCACACAAAATCCAACAGAATCCCAAAAGGAAAATTACTGTATCTAATTAAAATTTACTCCAGGAATGTAAAATTAATGTATAAAATAGTCTGTATTATTAATAAATTAAAAAATAAAAGACATTTTTTCCTTATCAGTAATGGTTGGTAGACAACTAGTAGTTCTGGCCATAATTACAGATAAAAAAAAAAAAGATTTTTTAAGTTTTCATAGGAAAAAATTCTATTACGAAAAGACCAATACATCTCATTCAGAATACATCTCAATATCAACAGTAAACTTTTTTAAAGGCAAAACAGGGCATTCAAACCGCTAAGGAAAAACTATTTCCAATCCAGAATTCTATACTCAAATTCTAGAAAAAAACAGGAGAAAATCTTTTAGGCAGATTTCTTAGGTATGACACCAAGGGCACAAGCCATAAAACAAAAAACTAGGTAAACTGGACTTCATCAAAAACAATTTTTTTAAACTGTGCTTATAAAAAGACAAGCCATGGGTTGGGAGAAAATACTTGCAAATCATATATCTGTATCAAGTATGTATAAAGAATTTATACAGCTCATTAATAAGAAGACAAACCAATTTAAAAATAGGCAAATGATGTCATTAGACTTTTCAGCTAAAGAAGATACATGACTGACCAATAAGAACATGAAGCAAGACTATAACAGTGCAAAATTCTAACAATGTGGAATTCTAACCAACCGCACCATTTTTTTTTTACATTATTTCTGTAAGCACAGCTTCTGACTAATATGTAGCTTACAGATAAATAGCATATTTGTATAAAAATCCTAGAACCTAACTTCAAAAGATACAGACTCCAACCTTCAGACATCCCAGCTCCAGGAGATTTGCTAACCTTCAAATATGGAGCTGGGATGAAGTGAAGCCAGGATGACTAAACCAGGATGATGCACACCGGCCCGTCACTTACCTTATGGAATGGACTGTCCTCATTTGCACATAGAGAACTCTTCATCCCCCTCCCTTGATCTTTTTCTTCTGTTCCCCTCTTCCTTCTTATAAAAACCTCTGCCTCCACTGGGAGATGGGCTTTGAGACATGAATCCCCTATCTTCCAGGTGGCTGGCACCTGAAAATAAATCGCTTTCCTTTACATCAACACCTGCCTTTCATGTATTGGCTTTCATAATGTCACAAAGTTGGCCTGCATTTGGTTATAATACTTGATATCACTAAATATTAGGAAAATGCAAATTAAAACCACAATAACACTCACATCCACTATAATGGCTATCATCAAAAATACAATGAACAACAAGTGTTCAAAAGGATGTGAAAGTGTGAAGAAATTAGAACACTTATGCGTTACTCATGAAAATATAAAATGATGCAGCTACTTTGGAAAATAGTTTGATAGTGTCATAATTTACCATACAGCTCAGCAATTCCACTCTAAGTATCTACCCAAAAGAAATGAAACAGTGTCCACATAAGACTTTTATGTGAATGCTCAGAGCAGCATTATTCATAATAGCTAAAATTTTTAAAAATTCAAACATTCACCAACTTGTGAGTGTGTAATAGAGTAGGTCAGACCAGAGATCACTGGAGAACAAAGTAGACCCTTGTCCAGGAGGGGAACCTAAATCCTGCACAAGAGGCTGTCCCTCTCCCACCAGAAGAAGGCAGGGGGCAGGGAGGGCTGCTAAGGAGACAAATTGAAGCAGCCACCTTCTCCAAAGGGAGGGAGCCTGAGCAGAAAGACTGCTGGAGGCAAACTGTAAACAAAGGCAACTATCTACTGTAAACAAGCCAGCATTCATTGCCCAAGGCAGCTGAGCAGCTCCTGACTTGGTAGAAGGGAATTTGTATAGAGCAGGTGTGGTTCAAGATTTTGCTACCTTGATAAACAGAGTGGCTGGAAGAGGGGCAAAGGCAAACATGGAGGACACTGGCTCTCACTGGTTGAAGAGCTGGACACTCCCACTGGTTTCCATAGCGCATGAAATTCTGGGAGAGGGCTTTTAAACAGAAGAGGCAGAAGCTCACTCTCTTGGCTCTTGCTCTCTTGGCTTGGTTTCTTGGGCTCTTGCTTTGCCCAGCATGACAGGAGCACTAGAGGGACTGGCAGATTCAAGGCCCTTCTGCGACTAAGGCCCTGCATAGTTGGAAGCCAGCTCCCTAGAGGTCGGGCCCAACACTGGGAAGCAGGCCTCACCAGGCCCCAGCCTTTGGGACACTACAATCCAGTGCAGCATGGGACATGGGTCCTGGGCTGCTTCCTCTCCTTCATCCTAAGAGCAGTGGACAGAGCCTGAGAGCAGGACATCAAGGCATGAGCTGGGAAGTTCCTTGCAGATGGAGCTTCCCCTGAATGACTGTCTGGAGTGATCTTGCAGCACACTCCCAGACCCTAAGAGAGGGAGCTGCTGCAAGACAATGGTGACTCTGAAACCCACAAGAGCATGGCCCAAAGAGGATGTAGACATGCTTGCATGGCTGGTTTAACTCAAAAAGGACAGATAAGCAACAATGGGGAACTCCTGGATGTGGCTTCAGTTTGCAATCTTTTTGGGAGCAAGAGAGATTCTGTGTCTTGCAGAAGAGAAGCGTTCAGAGCAGAAATGCTTCCAGCCCCCCTAAACTGGAAACCCTGTTAAGAAAAATTATTTCCTTCCACACAAATCTTTGTGTTGTATGTATACATGGCAACAAGTGGCCAGACCCCATGTTGCCCTGTTACAAGTAGGTAAGTAAAATACATGATATCCACGCAATGAAATATTATTCAGTAATAAAAAGGAATATACTAATGAAACACACTACCATATAAACCTCAAAAACATTCATGCTAAGAAGAAGACCTAAAATACCACATATTATATGATTTTATTTATATAAAATGCTCAGAAAAGGAAAATCTTTAGAAACAAAAAGTAAATTAATGGTTGCCTGGGATGCAGATGGAAAAAGAGAGTGACTATAAATGTGCTTAGGGATCTTTTTTTTGTTTGCTTTTATATTTTATTTAACTTTTTTTATGTTTTAAAGAAAACAGATTTTATTACCCAGCAATTAAAAGTATTCAAACATGTATTTTTCTACATAATTTATTGTAAGGTGATCAATGTAAAATAAAGTATTTTCATCATTTGCTTCAATTCATGTCTTCTTGACCAATTCTGTTTTTCCCTCAAAAATGTAGTAGGTCATGTCTGACATAATGAATTTTTAAATACCACAGCTAAAAACGTGAACATTCATTCATTCATCTGCAGCTACCTACATGCTTGTTACATGCAGTTGTATTCCTAGGGGGTTAGTCATCCTCTGTGATAAGTTTTTGAAAAACATTATGACAACCTTTTTCATCTTCAACTCATAGGCTCTGTTGCATCTCGAAAAGTCTGGCAACAGGCCCCAGGGTGCTTCCACCCAGCCCACAAGATATGCAGTCTAAGTGACTTTGTCCACAGTAGAGTGGAAAAAAAGCTATTTAATCTTTATTGTATTTTTTTCCCATTACCATTTAGTCCCCTTATACCTCTCTCCCCACTGTGCATAGGGATCTTTATGGGGTGATAGAAATGTTCTACAGTTCTATTCTGCTTAGTAACACAACCCTATAAATTTACTAAAACTCACTGACTTGCTGCCTTAGTCCATAAAGGCTGCTATAACAGAATAATATAGATTGGTGGCTTACAAACATGACAAATTTATCTCTCACAGTCCCAAAGGCTGAGAAGTCCAAGATAAAGGTGCCAGCCAATTCAGAGTTGGGTATGGGCCACTTTTCTAGTTTATAGACATCGGTCTTCTTACTATATCCTCACATGGTAGCAGAGAGAAGGTTGTTCTCTGGAGCCTTTTTCTTAAGGGAATGAATCCCATTCATGAGGGATTCACCCTTATAACCTAATCACCTCCCAAGGCGCTACCCCTAAATAACATTACATAAGAGGGGAAGCATTAGGGTGGGTTATGTTTCAACATACGAATTTTGGAAAGAAGGAACACAAACATTCAGTTATTATATTTGTACATTTAAAATGGGTGAATGTTATGAAATGCAAATTACACCACAATAAAAACTATCTGTATTTTCAACAATAAGTTAATACAGAATCATTTTCATTTATTCAAATTCTCATAAGATTTAGCTCCTATGTACTCACTGGTTCTCAGGAAGCTAATTGAAGATATACTCCAGGAAAAAGGCGAATAAACCAACAGTGTTTAAGACAAAAATCCAGGTCAAAAAAAATGAAAAAAATTTAACCAATGTTACCCCAACAAGCCAATTTTTAGCTGCAGAGAAAGGAAAATATGTAGGAAATGAAAATAATCTTAGTTGACAATGTAACTGCTGTGAATGGCATTCACACTATGGTCAAATAAAATCCAAATACTAAGCTAACACAAATCATGACATAGTGCTAGGAGGGTGGGAAGTGTGCAATTGTGCAGTGAGTGTGCCAAGGCAGGCAATGACATATGTGAACTTTCACAAAGGGAGGCTGAAAAAAAAAAAAAACTAAGAGGGACTAGTATAAGAGTTTCTATTAAAAAGATATGTGATATTAAAAGAACCAACTAAAATAATTAAAATTAGTATAAGTCATCAAACCAGGCTCCTCTCTGAGAGGGAGGCAATAATTGCCCCTAAACAAAGGCAGAGGAGAAGAAAGAGCTTTCTCCCCGCTCTTCCTGCTGAAGCAGTACTGGCTGCTCCCTGAGCAAAGCTGAAATTCCCCCACATGCATAACTTCAAAGAGCCTTCTCTCATCCAGCTGACTTCTCCTTTCACTTCTTTGTCATTTCTTTCTCTTTCTTCTTTATGGTATTGATAATTAATAGCTGATATTGGGTCAAAAAAAACTAGTGACATGTTAATTCAGCTGTTTCAATCCCCATAATTTTATACTCACGTGAAAGTTCTTCAAATATAAGAATAACCTTAGTAGCCCTGGCCTGTGTGGCTTCGTTGGTTGGAGTATCATCCCCTACACTAAAAGGTCATAGGTTTGATTCCTGGTCAGGATATGTACTTTTGTTGCAGATTCAATCCCGTCAGGGCCAGTGTAGGAGGCAACCAATTGATGTTTCTCTATCTCTCTCTCTCTCTCCCTCACTTTCTCTCTCTATAAAAATCAATAATACATATATTATTAAAATTATGAACCTTATCACACATTTAAGAATTCAAAGAATACAGTACCCATGGATACCTTTCATAAATAAGTCCTTAATTTTTAAAAAAATGTAACTATGAGGTGAATCAAAATGAAGAACTGATTAATCTAGATGCCATGGTGCTGTGCTGATAGCCATGAAAAAACTGGCAGACTCACACAGGAAAAAAAGTAATATTACAAGAATGTAAAACTAATAAAAAAAAGAATATAATGAAGATTTAGGGAGGAAAGACAGCAGGCTTAAATATAAATATATCATTTCTATTCATTTTTGCAAACGGGAAACAATACAGGGTCTGGCAAATGTAGGTTTGCAGTTGTTTATATGAAAAATAATATAATAATAAGTAGATCCAAGAATAAACTGTCTCGTGTACTCACAAATGTAAACCTACTTTTGCCATATCTTGTATATCTTTTCAAATTAGGATATGAAGAAATATCATGACAAAAATATAAATGGTTTTCATAATCATTTTTCTTATTAAGAACATCCTTTAGAAATTAGTATCTCAGGGAATCAAGATGAGGAGGAGTGAGTGGAAGTCACACTGACCTCCTCCCAGGACCAACCTGGAATTACAACTAAATTGTGGAGAAATCACCTGGAACAAACAAGTGAACAACAGCAAGAGAGGAGCCTCATAACTTGGACAGAAAGAAGAATCAGCTTTAGCGCAACCTAACTGGTAAGGAATGCGGTAGAGACTCAAGAAGCAGGCGGGATGCCAATGGGCAGCAGCACCAGAAGGATGTTGAAACGGCCAGTTGGATCCCCGTGAGAAGAGCAAGGTCTAAACCATGAGCAGGGATCTCCAGCCTACAGCACCAGAGCCCAAAAAGTATACAGATAACAGCCAGCTACGAAAGCGGCAAGGTTGCTCTCTGCCAGAGACAAGAGGCTGGAGACGCAAAGAGCTGTTCAAAGGGC